TGGCCGATACGTATCGTTCCAGGACCCCTTCAATATGCCCCTATAATGGGTGTATTGGGGGGTTTGACCTGTCTAGGGGGTAGAGGAGCCCTAAACCAGCCCTCCTGAACCGATTTCGAAAAAAAATAAAAAAAGTAAAAGAAAGGGTATCGATTTACCCAATATGCCCCTACTGGCATATTGATATTTTGAACCTTATATTATATATATAAATATATTAAGCTGAAATGTGTACGTAAGAAGGCCACTCTCCTACCTACTCTCTCTTGCTTTTTTTTTTCTTTCAAATTACAAGAATGCCATCTCTCTCTCCTTATAAATTATAAGAATGCCACTCTCTCTCCCTATAAATTACACGAATGCCACTCTCTCTCCAACTAAGGGAGACCTCGGCTCGGCATCTCGGCTGCTAGGGGACCTGCAATCAAAGGTAGTTGAGTTTGAGCCGAGCCAAGCTCGAACTTCTGAGCTCAAGCTCAAGTCCCTAATTCGAATCGAGCTCGAGCAAGATGACACATCGACTACTAAGGGAGACTTCAGCTCAACGCCTCGATCACTGAGGGAGGTATCGGTTTAACACCTCAACAACTGAGGGAGATCTCAACTCGGCACCTTGTCAACTAAGGGAGACCTTAGCTCGACACCTCGCCTATTAGGGAAACCCCAGTTCAACACTTCAACAGTTAAGAGAGGCCTTAGTTTAACACCTCAGCAATTGAGGGAGACTTTAGCTTGGCACATCGATTGCTTGAGAGACCTACAATCAAAGGTAGCCGAGTTTGAACTTCCGAGCTTTTGGCTCGAGGCGAGCTCAAGTTTCTAATTCAAATCAAGCTCGAACCTAATAGTTTATGAGCGAGTCCCTCCATTAGTATATATATTAAAATAAAATATATACGAAAGAAGGCTAGAGAAGGTAGCAAATGGCATCTTACTATAGCTTGTCCCTTGCTCGGACTCTTGTGCGTGTGAGGGCTCTCTACCTCCCAATCTCCTTTGGTAAGTGTTTTCTTAATTCTTACCTTAGAAGAGAAGGCCTACCCTCCCAATAATGGTAAGGCATTCCCTTACCTTTATTGATGGCCCATGTCTTCTTATGACGTGTGGTACGGTCACCTCCTATCGTACTCATCTATCCCCCCCCAGGCCCCAGCTCTCTCTCAAGCACTTCTATCGTGTTGTCCTTTCTCCGTGCGAATATCACTTCTGCCTGCCCCTCGCCCTCTCCCGAGGAAAAGCTTGCTCCTCGAGGTTTCTTCATGGTCTATTTTTCACTATCATCTCTTCCTCCTCAAAAGCTCTCTTACCGCCGTACGTGCGAATGTTGTTTTTGCCTGCACTGCGCCCTCTCCCGGTTTGAGTCTCTCTTTTTGTCGTTCCTTTCCCCTTCTCTCTTATTCTCTTCACCGGAGACTCCCACCGAAAAAGCCACTGTGTCCTAGCATCTCAGCTGCTGTGCTGCATAGGCAGAAATCATAAGTCAAAGCGTCTTGCTTTCCTACCCTGCTTTACAACCTTAGGGTGGAAGAGGAAAAGAACAAATAGAGGTTTATGCATTCATATAGTAAGGGCAAGGTGATGATCTAAAGAAGTACATGCATTGTTAGCAGCAACGTTTTAAAAAACGACTTAGAAACGGAGTTGTTCTGGCCACTGGTTTTCGGGTCAACGGTCAGACCATTTGGTTCGAATGGATGGCTTGTTCTGACAAACAAATTAAAAAAATAAAGAAATAATTAAAAATAAAAAACGGTCAAAAATCGTTGAACAAGTTGACGAGTCACCGGTTCGACTGCCTAGGTCAACAAATTGTTGACTTTTGCAATGGTTTTTGGCCAAAAACCGGGTTTGGAGTAAAACGGAACCGATTTCCTGAACGGTTCCTGGGCTGAATAGTCCGACCGTCTGGGTCAACGGCGGTTCAAAAACCTTGGCTAGCAGCACTTTCTCCATGTATTTTTTTCTTCACCATGCAATATTAAAAAATAAAAAAAATAATAATTAAAAATAAAAAACAATCAAAAACCATTGAACTGGTTGATGGGTTGCCTATTCAACCGCCCGAATCAACAAATTATTAACTTTTTTAATGATTTTTGATCAAAAACCGAGTTTAGAATAAAACGGAACTAGTTGCCCGAACGGTCCGACAGCCATGTCAACGGCGGTTCAAAAATCTTGGCTAGCAGCAGCACCTTCTCCATGTATTTTTTTTTCTTCATTGTGCAATGGTCATCATTAATGGTGATGAACTCATACTTAAAGGTCCCTTTTAAGTAAATCCCTTTTAAGTATCTCTTTTAGGATTTCAAGGGCCTAAGAGCTGGCATACTTAAAGGTCTCATTTTTTATTTTTTCATATTTTAATTTTGGGGAATTCTTTTTAATATTATTTTTCATCTTTTATTTGTTTTGTCATTGAGAGTGTCGACAAATATATTTATCAGGGTAATCGTGGTTAGGGCTTATATCTTGTTTTTGCCTGGAGCATTTCTTTCTTTTTTCCACTTTTATTTTCCTTTTGTGCATGTATGATTTTCATTGGTTAGGATGGCATTTACTTTCAAAACTTTCATTATGACTTTCTTGCTAGGTTTTTACCTTTTCGTTTTTTTGATATTGTTGAGTAGGAACTTAGAAGTTAGATATATTTTAATGTGGAGTTTCATAGACTTTAGTTAAGGCGTAGCCTATGTATGAACTACCATTTGATATTGTTGAGTAGGAACTTACTTTCTTCTTTTTTTTTTATTTAGTGATTATGATAAATCTCTTTTCCTTCCTTTTTTTTATATATTTGTAAGAAATAAATTGGTGGGAGGGAGGGAGGGGTAAAATGGTGAATTCAGGGCCTTAGAACTAGTAGGATTTGGCTAGCTGTTGTGATTTACAGCAAGCAATAGGACAAAACCAATGAGGGAGAGAGAGAGAACTCATTTATGTTGGCTAGCGCAATGAAATGAGCTAATATGTTTTTTTTTTGGAACATAGACAAGGGAGAAGAAGTCTATACATGGTGAACTCAAGGTGTTTTTCATGAAGTAAGCATAGTGTGAAGCAAACATGAGGATTGTTGTAGAATATCCCATTCCATATATAGTTTTTTCTAATAACTATTTTTTATTATGTAGATATATGGTCTAAGGCTGTCCAAGCTGGGGTCAAGTCCACACATTTTCAAAACCAATTAAGTTTCATATATTATACAAAAATTGAACTCCCCCTTCAATTCCTCTGCACAACCCGAAACTGAAAACTGAATTTTTTTCAAACTGAACCTAACTAAAAACTAAATAAACCGAATCGAATTAGTTTATTTGGTTTTCTGTAAGCCTGTAACCAACCAACGCGAAACGCTGAAAGTCTGAAACAGACTTTTCAGTTTTCAGCCAATCTGCAAATTCCCTTCATTTTCATTCTCTTCTCTCCATTCTTCAAGAATCGCTACCCCCTCACTCTCTCTCTCTGGAACTGGAAATCTGGAAGCATTTCAGAGATCTTCCTGGGCAAGTCCGCTCATTCATTTGTTAATATCCGGCCAAGAAGAATCAATGTCGATGATTTGCTTGCTGAAAGGTTTCGCCGAGTGGTTTGGTAAATTTCCCGCTTTTTTACAAGGTGTTCGTTGAAATTACCGAAAAAGCGAGCGCTTCATTTCAGTAACTTTTGTTACAAGTGGTTTGGAAGCCAAGTTATCAGAGGCCTCTCGCTCTCACCGAGGTGAGTTCACCCCGGGCGGACTGAGGACCGCATCTTGTCCCGAAGTGATCGTCTCGGTAGGATGAGGATCTACGGTTTGAGCCGAGGTACCCACATTGGCCCTAGCAGACTTGCAGCTCCCGTCTAAAAAGCTATTTAAGTTAAGGCTAAACATATTAAAGGAAAAGACAACGGAATCAAAAGGAAAAAGCAAAGGAAGGTGGACTCACCAAAAGGAAGACCAAAGAAATGAAGGCGACCTCGGACCCAGAAAGGGTTGATACCGAACTGGAAGACTTGAGTGCGACCTCAAAAATTGCGGATTTGCAGACTTGTGGCAAGAAAAATGGGCCCTTTGGCCCCTATTTATAGCCAGTATATCCGAGAATCAACGGTCAAGATCAACACGATCCGATGACTCCTAAGGAAATCGGTTGCATGCCCCCCGAAGTTAAAATCGATTTAGTGCGTGTTTTAACGTCCACAGAGTTTATAAACAGTGTGACGTTCGTGCGTGGCTGAGACGTGACTTGGGTCATTTCATGGTTGAGCTAGGTGGTTGAACAGGCCCGACCAATGGTTCGCCCTTCAAGTCGTCTAGACTTTGTGCCAAATCCACCTAGACTTGCCATGAACTCCCCGCACCCGGTTTAGAACCCCTGACACGAGGAATGGGGGGCAATTGATGAAGGGTGATTTGGCACGACCTAAGAAGAAGGGGACACATAGGCGTGAGCTGATCGAGTGGTGACAATTCAGCCAAGCGAACCCAGTTTACAACATTCGGAGCTCGGGTATTTAGCCACCTCAGCCCAAAAAACCACCTCGGTGTAGAGGCACCTCGACATCCAATCCAGTTCGAGACTAAAGAATCGAAGTGGCAATTCGGGGCTAGAGTGCCGAAACGTCACATGATCGACTCCAAAGGCCTCCCCAACGGACCCCGAATTTCTCGGGATCACGATAAGACTCGTCCTACCTCCACCTGAATCGGAGGTAAAACGATAAACCTTATGAACATACTGCTCTTCTTAAAAAATGGAACAAACCTTATCTACGCAGCCCGAAGATCTCGAAAATCTTTCGTAAGACCCACGACTATTCCCGTATATAAAGAAATAAAACCTTAAGAAAAAGGTACGCGTGATTACTCACTAGCACTCAAGTTTTTAAGCATTAAGCTTGCATTTATAACATAATTACTTGTTTAAGTATCAAAGCGTACTTTGCAAGGTTGTCTATCTACGAATTCGCGTACTGTACCAGCAGGGTACGAGCACTTGCCAACTTTCTTATAGCAGAATGAATCCTCATTATTCAAAAGTCACCGGCATAGCTCCCTCGCTGCGGCAGAAACCAGAAGAGCAAAAATGGGGTCTCTCCCGCTATGTTCCGACCTTTTCTCACTTCCTAAAGAAACCCAAACCCTCATAAACCCTAACGAACTTCTCAGTCTCTTCAAATCGCAACAAAAATACCTGAATTATTTCTTTCAGAATCTCGATCTCTCTCAGGCCCTCTCCTTCACCCAGACCCTGTTGAACACCAAAGGTACTATCTTCTTCACCGGTGTTGGGAAGTCTGGTTTCGTCGCTCAGAAGATCTCTCAGACTCTCGTTTCTCTCGGCATCAGATCCGGTTTCTTGTCTCCCGTCGATGCTCTCCATGGAGACATCGGCATTTTGTCCAAATCGGATCTTCTTGTTTTCTTTAGCAAGTCTGGTAACACCGAGGAGCTTCTGAGGTTGGTTCCCTGTGCGAAGGCGAAAGGGGCGTTCTTGATCTCCGTAACATCGTCGAAGGGGAACTTGCTGACGAATGTCTGTGATTTGAATGTACATTTGCCTTTGGAGAGGGAATTGTGCCCTTTTGATCTGGCGCCCGTGACTTCGACGGCGATTCAAATGGTTTTTGGGGACACGGTGGCGATTGCTCTCATGGGTGCGAAGAATTTGACAAAGAATGGGTACGCAGCTAATCATCCGGCAGGGAGGATTGGGAAGAGTCTCATTTTTAAGGTCAGAATGATATGAATTGACTTCATTTGAATAATTTGTTGTCATCCAATTTCTTTATATTCTGTTTTTTATTTTTTTTTCTATTTTTGGTAGGAATTTCTTTCTGTTTGTGAGTTTGAGGACGCAGATCTGTATAATATTCAACTTCTTTACGTTTTACTTTGACCTTTTAATCCGAAAATAGAATCATGGTCCCTTTCTGGTAATTGGGATGTCTTTAGGGTGTTACGAGCTCCAAGTATTTTTGGAGCAAAGATGGAATTGAAATTGGTATTTTATGGTACGAGTAGCTGAGTTATGAACTGAGAGCTATTTGGGATGCTTTTGTTGTTTGGTGCGACTTCTCTTGGATTTCAGTCATTTTTGGTTGTTCAGATCTGATTCCTTAATAGTAGTGATTTATGAGAATATGATCTAAAAATTATGGTTTGATCAGGTAAGTTGATATAATGCTTTTGTTCTGAACCACGAAACCAGTTTCTGCTTGAGTTGATCGTTAAGTATTTTCTGATTAATTGTTTGATTTGGATTAATATTTGTCGATCTCAACAACCAAGAGTGGATAAAGATGTCTTTTACTCTCAATTGGTTTCTGTTGCATGAAAATTAACTAGCTTACCAGCTAAGATGTGTTTGAGGGGTCAAGGTTATTTTGTGGTGTAAGCTCCATTAAACTCTTGGGGGCCCTTTGATAGCAGCTGAATGCTGAACTGAAAAACTTATTGCTTTGTGTTTTATTGAACAAGTCTGTAAGGGGGTTGTGGGCTCCTTAATGACTGGAACTGAAGTTGGGTAGATCACTTCTCTTTGAAATTTGTATTATTTAATTACATGAACAGAGGGAATAGGAGTGAAAGCCATCTGCAGAGTGCAGATATAATTTAACTGGGTTAGTCATCTGGAATGCAGGTAAAGGATGTTATGAAGAAGAAAGAGGAGCTTCCAGTGTGTAGAGAAGGAGATTTGATAATGGATCAGCTAGTAGAACTCACAAGTAAAGGATGTGGGTGCCTGCTTGTTGTTGACAATGGGTACCATCTCATTGGGACTTTTACAGATGGTGATCTACGGCGCACTCTCAAGGCCAGTGGAGAGGGCATCTTCAAGCTAACAGTGGGAGAGATGTGCAACAGGTAAGGGAAATAGAGTGGATATATCTTTGTAAACAAAATGTTATCTTCTCCATGGCCTAATGAATATACCTACCAAAACTTCTTTCATTTTGCAGGAACCCAAGAACAATTGGTCCAGATGCAATGGCAGTGGAAGCCATGCAGAAAATGGAGTCTCCACCATCACCTGTGCAATTCCTACCTGTCATTGACCATCAAGACATTGTCATTGGTATCGTTACACTGCATGGATTGGTCTCAGCAGGCTTGTGAACTCTGTGTACCATGCAGAAAATGGTCTTTGTATTAAAATCGGGATCCTTGAATGAGATGGGGATCACTTTGTTCTTTTATTTATTAATTTTTATTCGTTGTGTTATTAGTGATGAGCCCCTTGACCATTCCTTCTGCCGAAAGCATTAAGAAAAGAATACCTTCATTGTGCACAAGCTCCTCCAATTTTGCTTCTCTGTTCAAAAAACCAAGCTGCAATTTTGACAGAAGGATGACTATTTCAGTTTCAGCTAGATTCTCAATCAACTCAAGGGGTGCCTACTGAGGAAATTTGCAGTCTTTCCCAGATTGAACTGTTACAGACTCAAACTCATACTCAACTACCTCAAACCAATACTCAATCCATGCTCAACTGTCACAAACCCATATTAAACCATTATCGTTGATACTCAACTGGTACAAACTGTTACAAATTCATTCTAAACCACTTTATTCTTACAATCCCATGCTCAAACCATTACAAGATAATACTTATCTGGTAAATTTGGTTAACGCCCATACTGAACCATTATACACTATTTTCCTGGTAATAAATAAAATTTCTGAGAGGGAGTACAGTCTATTTATCTCTAAATAAAAAATAGTTTTATTAATAAAAGACAAGGAGTACAGCAACTAGGGTGTTGACAGGTCACCACAAATTCATCTCCAAGATGACAAAAAAAAAAAAATTCAAACGAAAACAAAAACGAAAAATTAACTTCTAGATTCTAATTCGAATAGAGACGAAAAATTAACTTCCTTTGAGGCTCCTTCCGAGCTCGCTTCAACCATTATTAACCATATGGGAATGGGACTAGTGGTGGCAATTGGGCGGGTTGGGTTGGGTTATATAAAATTAAATGGGTTGGGTTAAATCCAAACCCACTTTAATCCAATCCAACATGCCCAAACCCATTAGTTTTATATTTATGTACGTAAAACAAAAAATTAACTCCTTTTAACAAATAGGTTAGTTATAGCTTAGTGGTAATAGTAGTTGCTATTTAACAAGTTAACAAGTGGTGAAGGTTCAAATCACATTATATGCATGTTATTTTTATACAAGCAGTAAAGCCATTTAAATATGTTTGGGTTTCGGATTTGACGAACCGCAGGTTCAAACCGGCCAAACCAACTTGAACTATCCAATTGGATTGTCTTCGAGGTAAGGTTCAAAATATCGATACGTCGGTAGGGGTGTTTCGATACTTGTTTTTTTACTTTTTTTTTTTTATTTTTTTTTTCAAAACTGGCTCAGGGGAGCCGGTCTAGGACTCCTCCATCCCCTGAACCGGTCAAACCCCTGATACACCCACTGGGGGGTATCGAAGGGTCCCAGAACGATATGTATCGACCGATACGGGCCGATACATAACGATACTTTGAACCTTGATCACATCAAGTTCAAGAGTGGTTGAACCGTTTCGATCTGGGTCAGTTCGATCAAACTAGACCCCGCCTGAACCGGTTCAGTCCGGTCAGACAAAACCCGATCGGAACGGTACCAGTTTAGTTCGGTTGGGCCAGACCCCCAATCAGGCCGGTTCAATCCGGTCGGACCAAGCCAGACCGATTCAGTCAATGGTGGATTGACTTGGGTAAGCTCATATCAGGTTTGTGCATGGGTTTGGGGCCGAACCGATTGGCCCAAAGCGGGTCAAAAGAAGTAAATCGGACCGGGCAAGATTCGAGTCGGGTTGAGCAGATATGAACTAAACCGGATGATCCAAACCAGACAAAGCAAGTAGGGTGGTTTAGGGTTTAGACCCTATCTGGTCCGACCCGTTTTGGATTCGGGTCGGCCCGGATCAACTTATATCGGGTGGAGCTGGGCTGTGTGAATAATGATTGGACCTGATGACCCAAACCGGGCAAAGCAAGCGGTACCAAGCCATCTTGTCCGAGATCTATTTCGGATTTGGGTCGACCCGGATCGGTATATGTTGGACCGGGATAGACCGCGTTGAACTAGTTCGGACTTGGGTCAAATTGATTTGGATTTATGTTGGGTAAAGTGTGTTGATTCAAGACAAAACTAAATTAATCAATAATTAATAGAAAATTAGTGCATTAATTATAAATTATTTAATTCAAATGAAGAAAATAAAAAAATGCTAAGGAATTAATACAAATGTTTGTAAGGGTTAATCCAACAGTTATCCACAACCCAACCCAACCCAACCCATTTAAATGGGCGGATTGGGTGATGGGTTGATCACACAACCCGCCAAGTAAATGGGCGGGTTAGGTGGGCTCAGCGGGTTGGGTGAAAAATTGCCACCCCTAAATGGGACGATGACGAATCGAAACTCAAATGTTAAAAGCCCTTACTGAACCATCAAAATCTAATATCAATTATTGCAAACAAGTACATACCTACCTATCTCAATATCAATTATATCATATACAATAATGCAGTTTCAAAGACTCAAAATAAAAGTAATCCAAATAAAAGAGAGATTTTTCCGCCACATGTGACTTATTTTTAACTTTTAAGCCATTTTTTTATAAATAACTAAGGGTCCATTTGGTTTGCAGTCAGGATCGGAATTGGAATCAGAACCAAAATTTCCAGGAATCATTAATTGGAATCACCAATTCCCAATGCTTGTTTAGTTCAAGTGGGAATCAGAGTCCGTTTTTAATCATTGTTGTTTGATTTATTTGGAAGTGCGAATTGGAATCAATAGAAAAATTTTAGTTTTATATTAGTTTATTAATATTTTATCATAATTAATCTATTATTTTATTGTTACTTTATTATTAATTAATTATTAATATATTTATCATCATCTTCTTCTTCTTTATTATTATTATTATTATTATTAATTACTACTACTACTACTACTATTACTAAATAATTAATCTATTATTATTAATTACTACTACTACTATTACTAAATAATTAATCTATTATTATTAATTACTACTACTACTATTACTAAAAAATAGAGTAAAATACAAAAACCTCCCCTGAACCTTCTAACAATCATAAAAACCTCCCCTATAGTTTCATTTTAGTAAAAACCTCCCTGCTATTTTTAAAAAAATTAAAAAAAACTCCTTTCGTCAGAAAACATTAAACCGATGATCAAATCTTTCCAAATACCTATTTTACTCTTTTGCATGTTTTTATTAAAATACGCCTGTCGACATATCGTCGTCTTTCCCTTCCCATAGACCTCTTTACCGTCTTCTCGTAACAAAAACCCGTGCCATCCACGAGTCCCCACTGGTTATAAATATACAAATTTGGCCCCCTTTTACATTCGATCTCTCTCTCTCTTCTTCTTCTTCTACTACGTCTCTTACGGTACTTGCCCACAGCCATGTATAAAGTGGCAAGCCCGTCGAAGTACTTAGTGATCACCGGCGTCGGGATACGTGACATCAAACTCGCCAAGAAGGCATAGGTCCTTCCGGGGCAATCTTGCACTATCTTCGAAGTACAGGCTATAAGCGTAGAAAAGCTCCCCTTCGTTCTCCAGGCAGTGTTCACTATCATGGAGAATATATATTTTTGACATATCTTTCAAGGTCTCATATGCAGCAAGGTCCATTCTTGCATAAGGAATAATCCCAAGAAGAGATGGAACAACACCTCTGTAGAAGGCTCGAGGCCCCTCTTGAATCCATATGTCTTTTGTTAAAGCTCTGAGTTTAGGAACTTTTCCACCTTCACAAGCACAAGTCTACAATCGAGTTTTTACAAGATCCATTATTGCAGGTAATGATAAATATTCTCAATAGTAGCCTCATGGGGATAGAGTTCTTTATCATCAATTTCAATCCCTGCAGAAGAGAAACTGCCAGGGCTTATAGGAGGAAAACAAACTAGCTAAAAAAGGAAATACTGCACATATAATTGGCAAGTCATAAATGGATAAAACCACAATTTCAAACCCTTCTCTCTAGCCACGTTAAGGAGCTTGTTCAAGGGATCATCGAGGGTGAGACTCGAGTTCTGGCAATGTCGATGACCATGGAGGAAATCTTCAGAGGAACCAAGGAGTTCAAGCAAAAAGTGTTCGAAAAATTTCAAATAGAACTCAACCAGTTCGACCTTCTAATCTATGACACCAACATTAAGTAGTTGGTCGACGTGCCCGGTCATGAGAACTTCTCATACCTTGGCCAGAAGACCCAGATGGTAGGCCAAGATGAAAGGTGAGATCGGAGCAAAGCTTCGTGAAGGGCAAACGAGGATCATATCAACCCAAAGGCAAGGAGAAGGGAAGAAGGAAGGGATTAAGGTGAAGACATATGTGAGGATATATGAGAACCAGAAGGAGGCCGATGTTGTAGAGGTCAACGTGGAGTTGACGACAAAGAAAGGGGGGTGGACTCGGCTGGCTTAGATGGCGGAAGTGGAGTCAGCAAAGGCGGTGACCATATGAGAGGCTGAGTTGTAGAGAGAAGTTGAGAGGATGAACGCATTGACCCGCATAGAGAAGCTCAGGGCTGAGCTACTGAGTAAGGCCAGTGTGGAGTATGAAACCCGGGTATAGAGCATTATCGATCAATCCAGTCATTCTCTTTTTGCTTTTTTTTTTTTTTAATAAATCCAACTGTTCTTGAGGAAATTTCTATGATTTCTGAGGAATTAACATCCAAATACATATCTGTTTGTAACACAAGGTTCAAGAAGTGAACTGGGAGCTTTATAGGAAACACAAGGCAAAAGAAGCAGTACTGTACGAGAAGTAGAAAGAGGCCGAGGCATAGAAAGCAATTGCAGAGGCATCTTTTTATGCTCGCCAACAAGTTGCAGACGCAGAACTGTATGCAAAGAAGAAAGAGGCCGAGGGAACAATGGTGCTTGCACAGGCGCAGGGCGCTGAGAACTATATGATGATCAATAACAGTGCACTGAGAACTATATGATGATCAATAACAGAATGTTCCAACAGCTTGCTAAGATGGAAATCGTCAGGGCGTATTTGGAAAGGGAAAGATTTTGAAAGGGTAAAATAGGTATTTGCAAAGATTTGATCACGGGTTTAACATTTTCCGTCATGATTATTGACGGAAGGGAGGTTTTTGCCAATTATTTTTTTTTTAAATAGCAGAGAGGATTTTACTAAAGTGAAACTATAAGAGAAATATTTATGATTGTAAGAAAGTT